CCCCCCCCCCGGGGCTCAGGTGCCGCCGTCCCCCAGCGCCAGCTTTGCTTTGCTTCGCCGCCCCCCTGTCGCTCCCCCCGGAGCTGCCCCGAGTCGTCGTTTGCCTTTTTTTCCTTTATTTTCGAGAGGCTGGAGAAGCCCGTGGTAGGTTTGTAGCCCGAGGCTGGAGAAGCCCGTGGTAGGTTTGTAGCCCAAGGCCGTAGCTGACCGGAGCCCGCCGCGCCGGCGGGGGTGGATCCCTCCCATCCTTAGCGTCCCCCGACCCCCTCTTCCGGTAAAATAAACCCAGAATTTTTAACAAATGGCGCTGGCTCCGCCCCCGCTTCTTTCTCTGCACTCGAGTTCCCCCCAGAATGTGGCGGGGAACCTTTTGGGGGAACCTTTTGGTGGAACCTTTTGGTGGAACCTTTTGGACTCACCGGGGCTGCCCCTGCCCTGCCCGGCTCTGCCAAGGGAGGGGCAGATGAGCCGGGGAAAGGGGGGCACCCCCAAAATAGCCCCCGGCCCCCCAAAAGGGGGTAACGATGAGGCTTTAATGAGCCCCTGGCTCTGCTCCCCACCTTCCCTGCACCCTCAGGGGTTTCCCTCCTCATTTTCCTCCTCCTCACGGGCAGCCTGAGCAGCAAATTAACCTGCCCGGGGCTAATTAGTCCCTAGACTGGCTGGTTTGTCCAAATTAACCTGCCCGGGGCTAATTAGTCCCCAGACTGGCTGGTTTGTCCCCACGTTGTCTCGTCGGTCACCAACCCGGCTCCCCGGTCCCCACATTTATTCAGTGGTCCCCAGACGGGTTTATTGGTCCCCAACCTGGCTGGTTTGTTCCTAAACCATCTCCCTCCTCCCCACACGGCTCCTTTGTCCCCGAATGGCCCCCGCCACCCTCCTGCCTCTCCACCCTCCTGCCTCTCTGTGCTCCTTCTGTTCTTCGGTGACGTCGCCGGTTCCGCCTGCGCTGGCTCCGCCTCTGCCTCGGCAGCCGCCGCTCCCATCGCTCCCATCACTCGGTGACGTGGCCTGGGGGGCTCGTGGCCTGGGGGGCTCGGGGGGGGACACGTGTGGCTGCCCTGGAGAGGAGGGGAGAGGCCTTAGACCCTCCTGCCTGGCTAATTAACGTGGTGTTAATGAGCCCCGGCCGGCCCTCCCACGGCACAACCAGGCCCATGTCACAGTGGCCCGTGACTCTCCCGGCACACACCACCCACCACCCCTGCCACGGCTCACGCGGGTTTGCCCCTCAAAACCAGGTTTTCTCACCCCAAACGAGGCTGTGGTGCAGGTTGGTGCCCGGCAATCCCTCGTGTTCACCGCGGCAGCGTCACGATGGCTCCGAGTCCAGCGCTGCTGTCCCAGCGCTCCGGCCCTTCCCGCTGCCGGCACCGCACAGCTCGTGCTCCAGATCCGCCTCTTCCGTGGCGGCAAAGCGGCTCCAGCGCCAGGAGTGGCACCGAACCGGGTGGGGTGTGGTACCAGTGGCACTGGGAACTGTCACTGAGAGCGGGAGGAAACCCCCAGGGCCAGGGAAGAACCAGGCGGGAGGCGTCGGGAACCGAACAGACCCCAGTGTTTATTTACAATCATAAAAAACCCCGGCACCGCGCCGGGCACGACGCTGGAAACGGGGGGAATTCACCCAAAAACGGGGCGACTCGTGGTACAAAAAGAGCCTCGGTGGTTACGAACCGGCACCGAGCGCCGTAACCGCGGAACCCTCTAGAAAAACTCAAATAAAGAGCGACAAACCGAAAAAAGCAGCTAAAAAAGGCCAGTCCGTGCGCCGGGAGCGGCTCACAGGCGGCGCTGGTAGCCCGAGTGGACGCGGGCGGCGGGCAGGTAGTCGTTGTACCCGCCCGAGTACCGGGCGTACTCGGCGTGCGCGTCCGGCAGCCGGCGATAGTCCAGCGGGGACTTGGTGGGCGAGCGGCGGTAGCCCAGCGGCGAGTCGGCTAAGCGCCGGTAATCGGCCAGGTCGGACAGGCGGCGCTCGGAGCCGTACCTGGGCGAGAGAACAGACGGGGATGAGTTGGTGGGGGGGGACGACACACAGACGGTGCCCAGATCCACCCCGGCAGCACCGCATCCCCCCCGGGCGCGCGTCGCGGCTGGCACGGCCGGCGCAGGACGGGTCGGGTGCCACGGTGGCTCCGCCGCCGGCTCCCCCCGTCCCGCCCGGAGCCCCATCCCGCCCCGGGGACGTAGAGCACGAGCGGAACCATCGCGCCCCCCGCACCGGGCGTTGGCGTGCCGGTGCCACGCCGGTCAAGCCCCGAGGGGCACGCCGGTGCCCGGCGAGCCGGCACAGGGTGAGCGGCAGGGGCGGGTGCGGGTGCCCCGCCCGGCGCCGTACCTTTTAGCCAGGGCGGACGATTTTTTGTACGGGTCGTCGTAGACGGCGCTGCGAGGCGGGGACAGGCGGGTGCGCTCGTAGGGCGGTGCGGCGGCGGCGGCCTGAGCCAGGCCCAGGTAGGAGCCCGCCGGCTGCCCCAGCTGGCTCGGCCCGTCGTAGGCGCTGCCCGGCTGGGCTCGGTACGCGGCCGCCAGCGCGGCGGAGGACGGCTGCTGCGCCGGGTAGGAGGCCGCCATGGCGCTGGAGGCCTGGGCCCGGTACGCGGCCGTCAGCGGGGCGGAGGCCTGCGCCTTGTAGGAGGCGGCGGCGGCAGCCTGGCTGCCGTAGGAC